CCTATGGTCAATGTGCCTGGATGCTAATTAAGTGCGTACATACTCCTTTATCCCTTTGATCGCTCGATTTCGTTTAGCAAAAACCTCCCGTAAACCCGCGAGGAATGCACCATTCTTAAAATAACATAGCATTCATCGATAATTGTGTACGCTATCTGTTCTTTGTGTCCTTACTTATATCTAACCACAGTTTAATCCCTCTTTGTATCTGCAAACTGGGGCTTGGTGAACTACTTATCTCTCTCCTTTGTCTATGCCTAGAGTTAGGTCGTATTTCCTAAAATTATTACATCTTCTTGCCCTACGTTGCCGTAGGAGCCACCTTCTTATTTCTAAAACCAACTTCTTCTATGTACACTACCCTTTATATCTTACACGCTTTGTGTACTGGTGCCATTTCTCTAACGCAATTCTTATTTAGCAACTTCTAACTAATATATTTCTCTAACAGGGTTCTAACTTGGTATCTAGCCGACAATATCACCCATACTGTCTGTTTCTACAACATAAAACCACAAAACTATTCTTCACCATCGTTTCTACTTAACTGATCGTCTGGCTGGACCCACGTCTTGGCCGTTTGGCCCTGCTGGTCCTGCCCATTTCTTTCTTGAACTTCTGATGCCTGCTCCTGATTCGGTTGCTCCTTGGGTACGTTCGTGGGCTCATTGGGTTCGGTCGTAGTGTCAAAGTCTGTCTTCGATCTTGAAGTCCCAATAAGGTTAGGCCGGAGCCTAAATCGTTCGAGCTGTCTGGCCATACTGATTCGATTCAGCCTGAAGCGTCCTTTGTTCGCCTCAGATTCCCTTTGCTGATCCCATCGAACGTGCTGATCGCCCAGTCTCGGCGTCTCTTCCTCTTCACTGTTACTATTTGACATCAAGGATGGCATTGTGGCACTAGCGTCACTACTGGTGTACTCACTGTCGTCTTCTACCGCGGGTGGATTCTGAAAGATTCGTCATTTTGCCGTGCTATCTTACTTTCACCTCGAAGATATTCAAGAACGTTACCTAAACAACACAGGACATAGTACAGAGCTATTTATTTTAATTGATTGGAAGATGAAGTTTGATCCCATCTCTTCGAAGGAAACGACTGGGATGGCATGGATGCATGTCTGTCAATGTACTTTTAGTACAATGAGTTGGTGGAAGTTGACGAAGATGGAGATGCTGTGAATAAGACTGCAGCTGTTTGTCATATCTTCTATGGCGATCATGTAGATACTTGAAGAAGAGAATCGACAGGATAGCTCATGAATTTGTTCAATGACTGAGGCGTATATATATATAGTGCACGAACGACTGCCGCAGATGACGATGACAGTTCTTACTGTACTTCCAATAGTACAGGCTGTTACAGATCGAAAGAGTTACTCATATTTCTTGGCTTGTTGAATTTAACTTACCCAATACAGATTATTAAATATGTTTATAGAAACTCTGTTAGAGCCGGCGGGCACGTCAATAACTTAATGAAACCATCAAAGCACAACCGAAGCAAGAAGATAGTAACGCCAAAAGACTTGACTGTTGCTTTCGTGTGGAGGGGTGGAATTTCAAACTCGACATTTGTACGGCCTATAGCAGTCGATAGAGCGGACTAAGAAACTCGTATAAGCTGCAGCTCAGTACTTCAGTCGCGCAAATGATGCTGCGCTCGATAGTCATCCCAAAGCATATGAAGCCAAACATAAAATATTTACGATTTAACCTTTTGGCTCGCAGAGCAGTTATTGTCACAATGGAGCTTGTCCCGGAGTGTCCTACAACGCTGCTGGAATCTCGAAAAGAACTCGAAGATGAAGTCCACTCGTCATTTTCAGGTCTACAGTTCCTCCCTTTCGACCAACCTGTGAAGTCTAAAGTGCGCATCACGTTAAGGAATGTCAAATCATACTTTTTTCTTCATGCGTACACTCAGCGGACATCCGAACAGCAGCCTCGTTGCGGTGATATACTTACTCATACATTCAAAAATTGCATGGACAATTTTAAAGTAAAATGAGAATAATGTTTGCCAACGATAAAGTATCAAGATCTGTGCGCGCGGGCACTATGAGCGTACTCTGTACACTCCTAGTTGGCAAAGATGCTGGTACTGGGGATGATGT